GGCGCTTTCGGAGGAGTTGCCGGAGTACGGGTATGCCCAGAATGTGCCGAAACAGGAGCTGCCATTATGTTTCCAGGGACCAGGGGCGGTGAAATGTCGGCAGCGGGTGCGGGGGACGGGACGTTCGAGCATCTCGGGAGAAGTTCAGGAGGACGTTCGTTATTTGGGACCTAGAATTAATCTGCAGCAAACGGCATTTATAGAAGTTCGTCGTCGGATCCAGGCCACAGCGGAGGCCTACTATTCGCTCGGCCAGGTATGGAGTTTATCAGTACCGTTCCGCTGGAAGCGGGCTCTTTTTTTCAGTTTTGTTCAGAATGCCGCGCTGACGGGCCTGGAGCCAATGCTGTTGACCGCCAAACATTATCGAGAATTGGACGCACTTATAGCTAGATATGGGAGGAGGGCGATGCAGGGGAAGGCGGTGATCAGCAAGGAGGAGGGGAAGATGAGGACGCTCACAAACAAACAGGTCATGCAGCATTGGCGTCTAGCAAGTTCTGCCACATAACTTCTTGTTCGCAGGTTGGGCTGGTATCGCAGCTGGGCCCTTCGCCCAGAGTCTCACACGCAGGAGTTGTGCTTGCTTTTCGGCGCGATGCCACTTGATCCAGGAGGTACAGCGCTCTCTGGTAATCAAGTTTTACTGTCTCAGGCGTCCCCATGGCTCGTTCGGCTACAGGAAGACTTTCAACATGCCGCCGAGCGGATGGACGAGGGACAGATCTGCGCGCACATTGCACGATTCCCTGGAAAACTCATCAGTAAGGAAACGGTGTCGGCTCTTGCTCGACTAGATTTCACGGAGATCCGATCCAGGGAGTTGTCGGTCACGTTTCCCCCGGCCGATGGAGAGGCTCCGCTCGACAGGGACCCCGAGGCTGAGGACCCCCTTGAATTCCCTGAACATCTTTGGAAGTGCGACTGGGAGGAGGAGGAGGGGCACATATGCGAACGGGGCTTCCAAACTAAACGAGACCTGCTAAACCATATGCGTCGAGTTCATCAAGTACATAACTTATGTTCGTCAATTACACCAACAAACACCTGTATTGTATGCCGTCGAGTCTTTGGGTCGCAGGGCAATGCATACAAACATCTACAACGGGCTGTCTTGGCGGGGAGGTGTCCTGCTCGCGGTACTTCGACGCTTCGACAGGTCCAAGTCCCAGGAAGCTTCGATTGTAAGATATGTGTGTACAAGGCTGGTGGGCTCGATGATCTCTGTAGCCATTTGGCTGAGTGTCATCTCCCACGGACGGTTGAAGCTAACCTCCCTCCCGAGCAAAGAGTTGCCGACGATGCCAGTGGAGGGGGAGGAGAAGCTGGACGTTCCAGAGTGGATGCTGGCCCCATCATCAGAAGGGGGACCCGCCAAGCACCGTCGAACCGCAGGCAGAAAGGGCGACCTCGGCAAGCTCGCGGGCTCCACGCTGTCTCAGCTCATCATGATTCTCGCCAAACTGGTATTATCGGACAGTCGGCAGCTGGCCGAGTTGACGGCCACAGTGCACAGAACGTTCGACCTCGACGCAGGCACGGGCTTGGCATCAGCAATGGAAGAAGCAGGACAGGGGTACAACGACGTATCAAAAAGCCTCAAAGAAAATTCGGCAAAAGGCGATCAGGTCAACTGGAAAGCAAGGGGGCCACCATTCGTGCAGATATTTACGGCATATATGCTATGGGCGGCGCAGCAAGCGGACAAGAGGGACGCCCCAGTGTGGGCGAAGGAGTTCAAGCTCTTGTGGACGGACAAGATCAGCAGGATGAAGATGGCCGAAGTTGGGGAAGTGGTACTACATTGGCAGTGGAAGAGGAACAGGGGCAAGCAGTCCGAGGGCGAGAACAACATGGGGAGGATCATTTTCGCGATCGACACCTCCCGCCCCTTCGGCCTGGCCCTGGCAGACTACGTCGAGAAGATTATCGCGGGGCTCGGCGCGGAGAGGAAGATCGGACCAGCCCCCCGCGGGCCGCTCGAGAGGGATGCAAGCAAGTTGCTGGCAGAACTGAAGGAGTCGTCGTGAGAAGTAGGAGTGAGCAGCGGAGAACCGAGCAGAGTGTGAGTTTAGATAGGCCTTCTCAGCCTAGTAGCAGTGGCAACTCAGGGCGGCCTAGTCAGGCCGAGTTGTTTGAAACTCCTGGCAGCGTCGGGGCCATCCAAGGGGAAGCTCCTGGCCGTCCGAGGGTCGCCCGACCGAACTTTTTGAGCAGCTTGCAGCAACTGAGGGGTAGTGTTAGGCTAGTCGAACTAATTGCAAGAGGCAGCGTCAGTGCAGATATTTTGGACCCGAGCCCCACCCCTGCCCCATCAGCCTATAACCCCGAGATAGCGACCACCCCCACCATTCAGAGGGAAGGAGGCACGCGAAGAGGGAGAGGCAGGAAGGGAAGGGCAAAGGAAAGGGCAAGGGTCGGTAGCAGTTCTCATTGGTCCCCATCAGTGGGCCCCTCGTTAGGCTGCGTGCCGAATTCGGGGGTGCCCACAGGGGCGGCGCGGCGTCCGTCGAGAGCCACGGGCCGCGCTGGATGGTTTGGCGGCATTAAGTTTCGCCCCCCAGAGTTCACCCTGCCCCACCCCGCTAGGCAGTCAGCTTGGCAGGCGATAAGCAGCAGCAGACGAACTCCCACGGGCCTGATCCTGATCCTGATCCTCCTCCTCCTCCTGCGTCGCCCCTCCGCCCACCTCCCTCTCCTCGTCACACCTAGGCCCTCCGATGGATCCTCCTGCTCCTTCTCCTCCTCCTTGACTTTCTTCTTGTCCTCCTCTTCCTCCATTTCCAGACTCAATAGTCTCCTCCTCCTCGACCTCAGTCCCCTCCTCATCCTCCCCCGCCTCTCCCCCTCGGTCACCCCCCTCATTCTCCCCCTCCACACCCATCCTTCCTGTTGTCGTCGTTTCCGCACTAACGTTTCTAACGCTTCGCGCCTTCCGCTGCCCTCTCGTTTCTGTGCGTTGGGCCGCCTAGGATTAAGGGCTGGGCCTCCCTTCGTTGGGGCGGTTGGCGGTCGAAACCAACTCTCGGGGTGAGAGCCTGCTGCAGCAATGGCGAGTCCGACCGACCTCCCCCGATCTCCACCCTCGACCTCCCCCCCCGCAGCCTCATCGTGCTCAACGCCATCTGGATAGCGGTGGCCTGCGAGGACCGCTAACGGTGTCGTTGTCGCGAGGGGCAGCGATCGGCGTGGGCCCCAGGACACTCAGCTCTTGCACCCTTCGAGCTGTAAGAGACGGGGGTCAATGCAAACGGGGGTCAGCCAGGGCGCTGGATCTTGCATGATCCTGCAGAGCCAGGGGTGCATTGACCCGGGCTTGCGCGCAGGATCGTGCAGGATCTTTCAAAGCGTTCCTGACCCGGGCTTGCGATGACCCGAGTCGGTGCGTCCCCGAGCCCTGCCGCGCAACACGTGTGGTACAGGCGATGTGGCTCGTGTGTTTTGTGGCGCTGTTTGGCCGTGTGGTGCACAAAGCCTCAGATTGCGCACGGACAGCGCCGAGTAGTCCCAGCTGGCCTCCACAGTGCCCCCGTCCGGCCCGTGGCCCATGGCGGTCTCAGCACCTCAGCCTTGGGGCGCGGACGCCCTGGAGGCGGCGCCCGGGCATTGAGGCCTCCCAGGACAGTTCGGGGGGCCTGTTGAGGCCAGCTGGGACTACCTGCCGAGGCTGTCTGTGCGCAACCCGAGACTGTGCCCTGGTGTATGATCTGCTGTGAATGCTGTGCGATATACTGCATTTCGGCCACACTCGCTGCTCGCTGGACAGCGTTTGCCTTGCGAGCGGCAGGGGCGCTTTGAAGCATTGCCAGCGGTCGTTAATCCTTGCAGTTTTGCCGCCGGTCGATTGGAGAAGGCAAATGTGGTGCATGCAGTGTGGTGCAACAAGTGTTGGAGCAGGATGTGCCAACATGCCCGATGCAGTCAATGTGGTGCAATTCGATGTGCGCATTTGTTTTCAATGACCACCTCCCAAGCTCGTGCAAACATCGCACCCTTCCTCCGCAACTTGTTGGCACATCTTATCTGGCCACGATCTCAACCAGCGCACTGGCGCGCGGAACTCGACCGCGCAGGTCAGTCCGTTCTGCAGGTCGCGAAATGATGGCGACGACGGTGACGACCGCGACGCCAACGACGATAGCGATGACAATGGTGATGATGCTGATGCCAATGGTGATGGCAGTTGTGATGGCGCTGAGTCCGATAGTGATGACAGTGGTGATGAAGAGGATGCAGTGTCGACGACGACTTCGGTGATGATGATGAAGATGATGGTGATTCTAGTGACCGCGGCAACGACGGCGCTGACGATGATGTTAACGATTGTGCTAGTCATGATGCTGATGAGGAGGAGGAAGAGGGGGAAGTGCCCGCGCCCAGAAATTTGACGAAGGCGACGACATCGACGATGGCGACTATGACGGCGGTGGTGATAATGTTGATGGTGGTGATGATGATGACGATGATCGTGATGACGTTGATTCGTGCTATGACGAGTGTGCTCATGAAGATGATGATGTAGTGCGCGCCGACATGACTTCACAACTCCTGTCGCTCTCAATGACACGTTCTGGATATTCGCTTGTTTGTTTGAAAAGGCGATCAAGAGAGTCTCACCCCCAAAGCTGGGCAACCCGTACCCGATATTTTCACTAGGAGTAGGTTCCGCGGGGACTTGTCTTGCCCTGCCCCCTCGTACCTCCGACGTTCTGGTGGGACCGTAGAGGCCCGGTTCTTTTCCCGGGACCGGCCTCTCGTCCTTTGACGTGTTCTGTCGACGGCCCCCGGGGCCCCCCGGACAGGCCCCCGGTGGCCGAAAACGGCGAACGAAGAGGTCCCGCCGTGCTTGTGTGCCGCAGCGAGAGGAGGATGGGAGCCTCCCCCGCCCTCGCCCCGTCCCAGATCATTGGATGCAGATTTTTGTTCGGTCGCGATCGGTAGAGACCGATCGCCACTCCAAATCGGCGGCGACCAATGGCGACCGATCCCAGAATCGGTCGCGACGGATCGGTCGCGAGCGATCGGTCGCGACCGATTATGAAGCAAATCGGCAGCGACCGATACCGAATTTGAAAGCAAAGTCGGTAGCGACCGTTCTCGTCGGTCGCGACTGGAAAATTCCAGTATCCAAAGATCAGGGATTGCCCAGGCATCCGCCGATGCGCTCTGTTTCGCTGCGCGGCCAAGAAGGAGGGTCGGAGCCCTTTCCTTGGGGCAGCTATCGCCCGGGATGCAGCCCGGCCACGCGCAGAGGCGCGTATGGGGGAAGGGGGAAGGCTTCTCAGAAGCACCCCTGCTTCGTAGAGGGCGCGGGCCTTGTCTGTAGATGTGATGCCCGCGCCTTCTGAGGAGTGGCCTCTCTCCATGAAGCCTCCCCCCCCTCCCCCTGCCCCCCCTTCTGCGAGCCGCCGACCATCTCTGGTGGCCAGGGGCCCGAGAGCGAGCCCCAAGGTCGAGCAGTGGCGAAGCGTCCTGGCTTGCCCATGAACCCACCAAATAATGTTCTAAGACCTTTGTGGGCCGCACGAAGTGTTCTTAGCACATTTCTGGCTGGGGCTGTCCTGCTGTGGGTTTACCTTATCAGAACATTGTTTCTGCTCTTAGAACATGTTTGGGGGTGTTGCCAGCATTTCGTGGTAGGCCTGTAGGAATGCGCGGGGACAGCCAGGGGCCGAAGCCGAGAAAAGAGCTCCCGCGGTGGAAAGCACACGCACAGACACACAGACACACAGACACACAGAAACATCCGTAGCCATTTTGGCTCAAGGCCATGGAGCACCCGACGACCGCGAGTCGTCCGCGGCGCTCTGAGCGCGAGGGGCTCCGCGCTTTGGGCCAGATCTCGGGTGCGTGTTCTTCAGTCCTCGGGCCTCAGCAGAGAGGCCGCAGTTTTGGGCCGCGAGGCCATTCGACAGAGCCTGCCTTGCCATGGTGGCGCACGGGCAGCCAGCTGGAGGCCGCTCCTGGGCCAGCGTCGCGGCGGGCGGCAAGGCCAAAGGCAGCTGGAGCTACTGGGTCTGCTCCAGCGGGCAGTGCGGGGAGTGGAACTGGTGCCCGCACTGGAAGTGCCGCAGCTGCGGCCGAGTGGCCCCGCCGTGGGTCAAGGCTGCTCAGCCGCCCGCGGCAGCCGCTGGCCAGGAGCAGGCCGTCGCCGACGCCGAGGGGCCGGTGACTTGCCTGAGCGGGCCCGGCTTCCCCTCTTCCCGTCGCGCCGGGGTCTCCTCCTCCTCCCACGTGCATCGCGGCCCAATTGATATCCAGCGCCCCCCTCGGATGCCCGATCGCCGGAACAGTCACCCTCTGCCCAGCCGCCGACGCAAAAAGTGTGTGTGTGTGTGTATGTGTGCGTGTGTGTGTGTGCGTGTGGCCGCGCCTGGCCACAGGGATACCTCCGTGCTTTATGCCGTGGTGCGCTTGAGCCCCCCCCCAAGTCTAGGACTCGCAACGTGCGCACTCGAGGAATTAGAATTAAGTCGGGCACGTCCCTCAACAAGAAGAATATTCCCAAATAGTCAAAACATAGTATGGCTACTATTTTTTGGTGAATTCTCCATATTTGTTCGCATGTTTGGTGTATTTCGTTGCGTTTTTCGTCCAAAATCCTTTCGTAGGGGGGCATGCCCGACCGAAAACTGGAGCAGATTCGTATGTGACACGTCTACGGCAAATCTTGACGCGTGCTCCTGATGAGACCGCCGCTGCCTCCACCCGGGTAGTGGATCTAGGCCTCCCAGGTGGGGTCCGAGCAAACGGGGTCGGAGGATTGTGGAGAATCGCCGAAGCATCGGCGATACGCCGGCGGAGCCGCTGCATCGCCGATGCCGATGCATCGGCGATACATTGGCGATGCGAAAGTGAAAGTGAAAGTCGGGGCCTTAAAGGCTCAAGGGAGTACCCACCACTACACACGGAGGGGCCACCGCGGCCAGGGGACGGCGGAGGCGGGCCAGCCGAACGCGCGATTTGGGCCCCGCACGCTCCACGCCGAGCCCCCCCCCCTTCCGAAGTCCTCGAAGACCCCTCGGACCCGAGTTGAACTCAACGGGAAATCAAAAATCAGGCGAGCAGCAAACGTACACACTGACAAGGACAGGAGGCCTGGCTAGAGCATACACCAGAGGACAAGCAACAAGCTTCAACGGCCTCAAAGCAACTCCTTGGAAGCGGCGACATTCTTTATCCAAAGGTCTGCGGCCGAGCCCTGCTGATGGAACACGAACAGCTGCATGACCGCGTGGACGGCCTCGACAGTGCCCATGGCCCGCAGGAGCCCGAATGAGGCGTCGCTGAGGCGCAAGGGCTTGCTGGCCTGCCGCTGGAGCACCTGCACGAGGTCGAAGAAAGCATGCCGCGTGCGAGCATCTCCCTCGGCTGGTCTCGACAGATTCCCGAGGGCACGGGGGCCGGAGACCGTGCCACGTCGCGCTCGCGGGCCTTCGCAGCTGCCGTCCCCCTCGAAGACGCTGGAGAAGCCGAGACGCGTGGCGGCGCCAGATCCTCCTCCATGGGCGTCGAGTGCTGGACCTCCGCCGAACCGCCCGTGGGCGCGCCACCAGCCGCCGCAGCGGCCCTCGCGCCAGGGCCCCCAGCGCCAGCCGCACCGACACGAGGATCCCCTTGGTCTGCACCACGCGGCGGGGCTGCGGCCGCTCGAGGAGCCCGAGCCACTGCCTCGCCGAGCGCCTCCGCCAGCGCCGTACCTACAAGCGTAGGCCGGCACCCCCGGTGCTGCAGGGCGCCGAAGGTGCGGAGCAGCGACTGGGCTGCTCGCGCCTGCGTCCTCATGGCCTGAGCCCAGCGCTCGGCCGCCGAGCGCTGTGGGCGCGCTGGCACGCCGGCGGCGAGCCAGGGCGGGGCCGCCATCCCGCGCCGCGGAGGGGGAAAGCCGCGGAGGAAGGGAGGAGGCCCGCGGGGTGTCGGCAGCAGCGGGCCGCCTAGCGCGGACTCGCAAGCCTCCGCGCCAGGCGGCGGCCAGAGCCGAGTTGGCGCTAACATTGGCGATGCGGCGCAGGCTTCCGATCCCATCTGCTCGGACCCCATTTAGGAGGCCTCTAGTGGAGTGGCCCAGGCCCGAGGCCCGCGGTTCGAGCCACAGGTGTTGGATATGGATGCTGTCGGACCCTCACAGGCGGTGGATCGGAGGTGAGGGGGTGATATCGAAGTGGAACGGAGAGCCCCCCTACCGGGAAATCGATTTCGGTTTCGTGTTCGTGCGTGCCGTGCGTGCGGGCGAGGCGAAGCTGCGTGGGCGGGCGAGAGGAAAGTCTCCTGTGGCTGAGGCGCGGCCGGACCAAATGATTCCCTGGGCGGCCCGGGGCCCCGCGGTGTCCCGCCGGTGCACCCGCCTGGTGGTGCGTGTTGGCTGAGGCGCGGCCCCAAATGATTCCCTTCCGGGCCCGCGGGCCCCGCGGTGTCCCGCCGGTGTCCCGCTGGTGTCCCGTGGCTGAGACGCGGCGGACCAAATGATGCCCTTCCGGCGGCCGGGGCCCCGCGGTGTCCCGCCGGTTGTCCCGCTGGTGTCCCGTCGGTGTCCACGATGATGATTATGATGATGATGATGTGATGATGATGATGATGATGATGATGATATGGTGCTGATGATGATGGTACTGATGATGATGATGATGATGATGATGATGATGATGATGATGATGATGATGATGATGATGATGATGATGATGGTGATGATGGTGTCCCGATGATGATGATGCTGATGATGATGATGATTGTGAGATCGATAGTCAGATCGATTGTGGGATCGATCGATTGAGGTCAATAATGGGATCGATATTGAGTTCGATTGTGAGATCGATGGTGAGACCGAGTGTGAGATCGATTGTGGGATCGGTTGTGATATCGACAGTGAGACCGATAGTGAGACCGAATGTGAGATCGATAATGATATCGAAAGTGAGTTCGATAGTGAGATCGATAGTGAGACCGAATGCGAGATCGATTGTGGGATCGATTGTGATATCGATAGTGAGATCGATAGTGAGACCGAATGTGAGATCGATAATGAGATCGGTAGTGAGTTTGATCGTGAGATTGATAGCCAGATCGAATGTGAGATCGATTGTGAGATCGATTGTGATATCGATTGTGAGATCAATAGCGAGACCGAATGTGAGATCGATTGTGAGATGGATTGTTGGATCGATCGTGAGATCGATAGTCAGATCGATTGTGAGATCGATCGGTTGAGATCGATTGTGAGATCGGTAGTGATTTCGATAGTGAGATCGATCGAGTGCGACGTTGTTCACGCCCACCCCCCCCCTCACCTCCTTATCACCGAAAGAGCGTGTTCTACCGCTGCTGGCGGAAAACCGGGGGGGGTCACTACCGGTTCGAACCCCTCCCCCCCCCCCCCTCCGGAAAACCGGGGGGGGTCACTACCGGTTCGAACCCCTCCCCCCCCCCCCCAGCTCATCATGAAAAGGGGGGGGGGTCACTACCGGTTCGAACCCCCCCCCCCCCCCCTCAAAACCGAGTGGGGGTGCGGACATGTGGGGGCGGTGTTGGTGGGGACAGTGGTGAGGGGACAGCGGGACAGTGGTGGGGACAGTGGGGGGACAGTGGGACAGTGGTGGGGACGGTAGTGGTGGGGACAGTGGTGAGGGGATAGCGGGACAGTGGTGGGGACAGTGGGACAGTGGGACAGCGGTGGGGACGGTAGTGGTGGGGACAGTGGTGGGGACAATGGTGGGAACAGGGGGGGACAGTGGACAGTGGTGGTGACGGTGGTGGTGGGGACAGTGGTGTGGGGACAATGGGAACGAGGTGGAAACAGTGGGACAGTGGAGGGTACAATGGTGGTGGGGACAGTGGTGAAAGCGGTGGCGAGGACGGCGGTGGGACAATGGGACAGAGGTACAGTGGGGACAGTGGTGGGGACAGTGGGGACAGTGGTGGGAACAGTGGGACAGCTCAGTGGGACAGCGGAGGAGTCAGTGGGACAGTGGGGATAGTCGGGCAGTGGTTGGGGCCGTGGAGACAGTGGGGAGAGTGGAACCGTGGTGGGAACAGTTCTGGGGACAGCGGGGACAGTGCGACAGTGGTGGGGCCACTGGTGGGGACAGTAGGGGCGGTGGTGGAACCAGTGGGGACAGCGGTGGTGAGGACAGTGGTGCTGGGAACACCAGTGGGGGATGTGATGCGGACGGTGGTGGGGACCGGGAGTCGTTTGCTGGCGGTGGGGGGGTGGGGGGGGGGGGGTTGAACCGGTAGTGACCCCCCCCGGTTTTCCGGATCCGCAGGGGGGGGGGGGGTGGGGGGGGGAGGGGGCGGGCGGGGGGGGGGGGGGGGGGGGGGGGGGGGGGGGGGGGGGGGGGGTAGGGGTTCGAACCGTAGTGACCCCCCCGGTTTTCGAGCGGGAGGGGGTGGGGGGGGGGGGGGGGAGGGGTTCGGGGAGGGGGGGGTTTTGCCGGGGGAGGGTGGGGGGTGGGGGGGGGGGGGGGTGGGGGGGGGGGGGGGGGGGTTGGGGGGGGGTGGGGGGGGGGGGGGGAGGGGGGGGGGGGGAGGGGGGGGGGGGGGGGGGGGGGGGGGGGGGGGGGGGAGACCCCCCTGGGTTCCGGAGGAAAAGGTTGGCAATTTTCCACAGTAAAGCGGCGGTGGATCACGCTCTCTCTTATCACCCGAAGGGTGGTCGTATAGGTATGGATATATGGTGGCCCCTGGGCGCCAACATGTTTCCATCTCCGCCGCCCGCTGGGTCTCGAGGACGTCGGTTCCCAGGCGTTGGATATGGATACATCCCCGCCTCGCACGATGACTACATGCACAGGCCTCCACAAATCGCGTTTACTAAACGGCCCTGGGCGTTTTCTAAACAGCCTTGCCCTGTTCGATCCCTTCTTCAGGTGCGTTTGCTATAAAGGCTTCGCTTGTCGGGATGCTTATTCCGAGGGAGGTTATTATTCCCCACCAGTTGCATTTTTCCTCCAAAACCCGCCTGTAGGAGGACATGCCCGACCTAACTCCAGTGGCGGGGCCTGGGCCCGAGGACTACATGCACAGGTGCCTGCGCGTGTGGGACCAGTCCCAGGACCTCTGGGAGGCGGGAGGCGCCCTGACCAGCGACGCGAAGGCGGAGGCGGCCACGCCCGAGGCCGCCTGGGCTGCTTGCAGCCGTCGCCGAGGGGGGGAATGACAGTTACAATTATGTCCCTTTACAGGAGGAATATTCCAGAATAGCACACAATACTCAGGGGACGTTTTTTTTGGTGTGGGGGGGGAATTCTAAGTATTTGGGTTTTGTCTGATTTTTTCTGTCGTCCAAAATCCGCCTGTAGGGGGGACACGCCCGACCTAGAATTACAACCAAAACTAATAAATACGGCCAGACCAAGATCGAGGTCGGTGGTTCTTCGTGCTTGTTGGCTGTTCTTGTGCATCCTGGGGGAGGGTGCCGTGTATTGCGTGATATCCGACCCAAACCAAACCGCCCAGTTGGTTTTGGCTGTCGCCGTTGCGATGGCGGCGGCCGCAAGTCGGGGCATGCTTTTTGTCCAGGAGGGGCATTCCCGCTCTCAGCCCCGCCCCCTCGGGGATCGGACATGTTCTCATCTTGAAACAATCAGGACGGAGGTTTGTTTGTCGTATTCGGTCTCTGGGGGCCCTCGCCAGGCCCCAGGACCGTCGAACATGATTCAGGATGAAGAACCGGTCCAGGGGAAAGGGTCGGGACTTCTGTGGAACCCGTATCCCAAAAATAAAACAGCGCATGTCAGGAGCAAGGATCGATCGGTACGATCGACCCGACGCCTCCCAAAGAGCGTCCGAGTAAACGGGTTCGGAGGATCCCGCCGCATCGCCGATGCATTGGCGATGCGGCTCGATGTGGAGCCAGAATTTCTCCACTCCGACGGGGCCGATTCGTCGCCGGCGTCGCCGATGCTTGGCGATGCGGCGCCATGCTTCGACCCAATCTATTCGGACCTATTTGGGAGGCCTCCAGAAGAGGAGCGATGATCGACCGATACGGTAGAATTGGTACCCAGACCTCCGACGATGTAATGTGTTCATTCTGGGCGTTTTTGCTCCATTTCGGCCTCTGGGGCCCGTCATTGGGCCACATGTAATCAAGCATGGATCTGGGACGAAGAATTGCGTCGGGACCTCTGGGGCTATGCAAACTTGAAAAAATCACATCGTCGGGCGTCTGGGTACGGCAGGAACAGGGACGAAGACCGGCAGCGTTTCCTGCCCACTCTGAGTAGGGCTCGCTGTCAGCGTCGCCGCGGGCGTTGTCAGTTTGACGGTCGCCTACCCAGCAGCGGCCGCTGTCGGTTTTGGTCGACATTTGCGGTTGGGCGCCGTAGTTGAAATATTTGTCCGTACTGTCGAGGGTCGGTGGCAGGCAAGTTGCAAGGGCCGTTCTACCAAAATTGTGGGAATGGCGGCGCGTCGCTGTGTTCTGGGCACAACCAAGAACCACAGCCACAATTGAGTGGATTTTTCGGGAGGTCCCCTCGGGGAGGAACCCACCGACCTGGACATGAACACATGGTTGTGGATGCGGTCGATTTAGCCGCCCTGGGTCGCCACGTCGACCACAACCAGCACTAAGCTGGCTCCGGTGTTCTATCGATCGTTGGCATGTGCAGGCCATCCCCCAGGGTGTGTCGTCGATGTGGTTGTGGTCGCTTGCTGTCTCCGCATGCCTCTCGAGCAGCTCTCTCCTTTTCCAGGCATCGCTGTGGCGTGTGTATTTCTCTCTGCGGGGACCATCGAGGAGCATCTTGGAGCATCTTGCGGAGAAATACACGGAACTGAAACATGCACGGGAATGGGTGTCCGAGCGATGGCAAGTTTCATATTCGATCTTTCGTGGCGTTGGGTGTCACATCGTGGGAAGTGCTGCGCCATAGGCTCCGAGGATCGAGCATGGGGGATCTGGAGGGAGTACCGATGAAACGGGAGCCAAAGATCGAGGATAGGAGAGAGGGATGAGGATCAAAGACGAGGAGGAGGATTTGGAGAAGGATTAGGAGGAGGAATCTGATTGAGCAGGAGAGGAATCGAGGATCGAGGACATGGATCGAGGATCGAGGAGTAGGAGGAGGATAATGACCAATGTAAACCCAAGTCGAATGTTCGATGTTGCAATACTCCCCCCATCCAAGTTCCCTCGTCATGTGTCCATACATTAATTCATTCAACAAGAGGCTTACGCCATTCCGCCGACCCCCAGAAGGTGTGGGGGGTCGTCTTGGGGCGGAGGGCTCGGAAGGTAAGTGCGGGCTACCTTTCTGCTGCCTCTCCTGGCCCTTGCCGGGGATCTCTTGGGCCATGTTGCGCGCCTCTCCCGCTGGGGCCGTCTTGGAGCCATCTTGGTGACCTTCAGCCGTCATGGACGGTTTGGGGCGTGCGTGCGCGAGCTGACATCGGGAGTGTTTGGTTATTGTCTGGACCATCTATGGACTGACGGCGGGAAATGGGGGAGTGAGAGAACGAAGTTTTCGGGAGTGTCAATGGGGTACGTTGCAACTTCTATTGCTGTCTCGTATCTGATGGTAGGGATGTTGCAGCGCTTATCATGAGGCTGGGAGGAGGAGGAGGAGGAGGAGGAGGAGGCGCGTGGATCAGCGACGGGTCCCGTCCCCGTGCGGAATCGGTGAGCTCCGTCGCCACATCGGGCGGCACTGGCTGCCTGTCGCGGGGCTGCCTTCCCCCGTCTGTGGTTTCCGGCGCCCGGGCGCCAGAGCCACGGATCCGTGGTCCGTGTCAGCGTGCGCCCGCTCATTCACCGGGCTTGCTTCTCGGGGGCCATCTTTTGGGAGGCTCTGCGGCTGCCCCAAACCAACTGTACGTTGGGGCCCGTTTCTGGCCCTCCCAGAGCCGTGTTGGAGGCCTTGCGCCGGGTTGGAGGCCACCCTGCAGCCATCAGACGCTGCAGCCGATCGCGACCGCCGCAAGTCCTTCAGCGAAGAGCTCTCATGGCCAAAAGCAGTGGGAACCCATGCCAATAAAACACTCTGCTTGCCTCCAGGGTGCCATGGGTTTCTTGGGTATCGATGCTCTTGCCATGGAAAGCGTGGCATTCCCACACCTAAAATCAGTAGACGTCCTGGGGTCTCAAGGTTGGGTTTTTTGTGGAAGGTTTCTTGTGGTCGAGCTCCTACGGTAGCTCTTCGCTTCAGGGGTTCTAGAACAGGTAGAAGGGATCCAGAGTCTCTCCCACGGGGTCATGGCAGCTTCCCCAGGCGCTTCCCCGGACTCTGCCGGCATTGCGCTTCGCTTATCAAGTAAGTTGTGTTCGGTGCGTTGGATGGGTTATCAGGATATCTTCAGCGGGAGATTCATTTTTCGCGTCAGTTCTAAGGAAGCCTGGATCGGCAGATCCGCGCTTTGGCTCCAAATCGCAAGACCTTCTCAGCATCCCATGAACCTGTTGGGAGAGCCTCTCAGTAGCCTCTCGGGAGAGCCTCTGAGGAGTCTCCCAGGACCGTCTCAGGACCCTCGCAGGACCCCCCGCAGGAGCTTGCTTCTAGAGTGCTGTGCTGGGGTCCTACCTTTGCGGCTCGAGCCCCTCCCAGCGGCAGCAACCGTTGGGAAGGTGCGTCTACGGTCCCGTGTCTGGTCGGGCCATGGCATTGCAGATCTCAGAGATGCTGCTCGCTGGGCCATGTATCCGTGGCCATGGCTCGATGGACGCTGAGCATATGTCTAGGCCTCCTAGATGAGGTACGAGTAGATGGGGCCCAATTTTCTCCGCGCCGTTGTCGTGGATGTGCCGCCGACTTCGCCAGTGCATGGCCGAGGCATCGCCGATGCATCGGCGATGCATCGGCGATGTATCGGCGATGCGGCGCGATCCTCCGACCCCATCTACTCGGACCCCATCTGGGAGGCCTCTAACATGTCCCCGAACAGCGCAGCGAGGCACCCCGGAAGCCTCACGCGGCCCCGAAGGGGAATCGACGGCCCCCAGGCAGAGCTTGCGGTCACGAGCGTCTGCTTGGCGTGTCGCGCCGCCTGCTCTGGCCCAAACACGCTTCGTCGCGACACGCTGCGGCGTCCCCAGCCCCCCCAGGCGTCAGCCTCCGCTTGCACGAGCCACGCGCTATCCGCCCGCAGGGCACAGCGTGTCGCTGGCGCCGCAGACACGACACGCTGAGCAAGCGCTCCAGACCCTGACCCCTTCCCGCACGACGCGGCTGCCTGGAAGAGCCGGCACTCCTCAAACCACTTGCGCCCCGGTTGCTGGTGAGATCGTCAGTGAGGGGCAGTTGTTCCCACTTCTCACCTCGGGCCACTCTTTGTCAAAGACGCGGTGTGTCATTTGCGAGGGGATGCATGTTAGCATAACAGATAAACATATCACGAGAGAGGATAAGGGAGAGGGAGCTATACAATAAAGAGAGAGAGAGAGAGAGATCTTGCTGGCGCTTGTCTCTTGTCTTGCTGGCGCTTTCCTCCTCCTCCGAACGTCCGCCCGCAAGTGGATGCTGGTCATCGACACCATCTTTGCGTTCCTGTTCGGCCTCGAGCTGATTGTCAGGCGGGATCGCGTTTGTGGCTGAGCAGAGCGCAGGGCTGTTGGGGAGTCCAGATTAAGTGTCGCACATACGCCCTCCAGGATATGAATTGTCTCTGACTCGTTTTCCTAAGTGCGAGTGGCCTCGGGAGTTTCTGAGCAGTGGAGCCGCGTCCGTCTCGTTCGCTGCTCCTGCTGCTGCTCTCTCCCTCTGCTCCGTAACCGCTCCTGCTCAAGCTCTATCAATCGAGGGGCCCCCGGCAGTGCATGGGCGTGCCGTGGGCCGCAGCCGGCCCGTGGGCGGCCTCCATCGCGACTGCGTGGCTCTCGCGCTGCCCCGCCTGCCCAGAGGCCCGCGTGACGTGCGGGGCCTGCCCCGCGTACCCTGCGGCGGCGGCCGCCGCCCCCTGCCCGGGCTGCCCGAGCTGCCCGGACTGCAGTCTGACCTGCGGGTCCGGGCCAGGCTGGTGGGCGGTCCTGGCCGCCTTGGTCGCCGGGCTCGCGGCTGGTGGCGGCCTCCGCGTGACGCTGGGCTGGGCTGCCCGAGTCGCCTCGCTCTTCGTCGGCGGGACCGACCCGCCGCCTGTGACCCTGCTCGTCGAGGACGACGGAGCTGGCCAAGACGGCGGTGCGCATCGCCGCTTTCGGGCGGTGCGGGCATAGCCTGATCGTCCGCTGTTGGCCAGATGGCGGCGATGCGGACGCTCGACGTGCCCGAGGCGCAGGTGTGCGTGAACTACGACGACGACGACAACTTTCGGTGGCACCACAGGGTGCTCCTCGAGCAGCTCAGCCCTGGCGTCTGGGTGGCGGCGACGCCCGACGGCGAGGTGCTGACGCTGGACCTCAGCAAGCACCTGGTCGTCCCGTTGCGTCGGGGGTCCGCGTTCCCGGTGCGGGTTCGTGGGCAGGTCTATGCGTTCGGCGACCAGTCGGACGAGGACATCGAGGCGCTGCGGGTGGAGGCGCGAGGCCTCGCCCTGGCCATGGGCGTCTCGGCCCCAGCTGGGATTGCTGGGGGCATCGTGCCGCGCTGGATCGTCTCGGACCCAGGCTCTCCCGAGTTTGGGCGCGAGCTGGACCTCCAGCTCATCGGCAACCCGGAGCGGCTGATCAGCCGCGACGCGGTGGGCATCGCGATGCTCAGCGAGGAGGAGGGCTGGGTCTCGGTCGAGAACGTGCAGCAGGCCGACGAGGAGGACTGGCGCGCCGAGAAGCGCCGAGGCCCAGGACGCGACCCGCGGATCCTTCCGCTGGCGCGCCGGGGTCGGGGGGTCCAGGTGACGCTCGGGGAGGCGCTCGCGAAGATGAACGCGGTCGACTTCGACGACTGGCCCTTTCGGGGGCCGAGGGCCCTGCCCGAGCTGCTGGCAGCCATCCTGGCCACCGGGCTGACCCTCACGTCCTACTGGGGGTACTGGGTCTCGGAGTCGGGGGTGTCCCGGAACGCCGCGGTGGCCCAGGAGGTGCGGCACGCGTTGAATCAGCTGCACCACGCCGTGACGTACGACCTCGTGGACCCGTCGAACTTGGCGTCTCTGGAGCTCCTGGGGCGCCGAGTGCTGCAGATCCAGCGTGCTGTGAAGAGGTGCCCGCGCCACCCGAGTTTCGAGGGCCTCGGCCTGATGTTGAGCAGCTCTCTGGACGAGAGCGGAGGCATCGTGACGTCGCGGTTCGACGCGTTCGTGGCCGAGGAGCAGAAGTCGCAGGGCATCATTCTGAAGCAGGAGCGGATGTACCGGGAGGAGCAGGAGTCGGAGGCGAGGAAGTACGAGAGGCAGGGCGACGACAGGGAGAGGGGCTCCAGGGCGGATCCGAAGGGCAAGGCGAAGCCGAAGCCCAAGGCCGCCGCGAAGGATCAGGGCTGACGGCGCCATGTCGGCGCCATCATGGCTGGGCCCTCCGCCCGGCCTCACTTGGCCTGGCCCTGACTCCGCAGCCGCGGATGCGAGTCGGGCCGGGCTGCTCTCCGAGGGGGTCTCCTCCGAGGGTCGGACTTCGTCCACAGTTTTGTTTCCTCTGCCGCAGGGTGACGAGTTCTTTCGGCACCCTCATCGCGGAGAACGTGCCGCTCTGCCTCGGTATCTGGCCCAGCGTGCTGCTCGTGCTGACGACCGTGATCGCAGGTCTCTCGAGACTCTGGGCGCGCTCAACGCGCTGGCAGGCGCACGGGCTGGGGGGCGTCTCGAGCCTCGAGCGCCCGGCAAGCATCGGCCGACTACCGCCCAGGAGTCGGTCATCAAGCGAGTCCGACGTCGCATCCGCGGGTTCGGCGACCGGCCGAAGGACATGGACTGTGCTGGAGCCCTTCAGGAGCTCCTCAAGCGCAAGGATCTTTACTCGAACATGGGCGAGGCTTCTACTCGCCGCGACTATGATGCTGACAAGCTCAACGTGTTACGACGTGCGCCACAGGACCGGCCTCGTCAGCTTCGAGACGTTGCCCCTCGGCACGTCACCGAAGCGCTGGACCACTTCGACTCGGACGTCGTTCGCCCCGCGCCGAACATCCCCGAGGACGAGGTCATTGTCGAGCCGTACTGGGACCCTCTCCTCAACCCGCGGGACCCCCAGAACCGGCCACGTCTGGTCGACTTCCTTCGACGACTCGCTGCACGGGGCCTGGTGGATGGCCGGGCGCGTCGGAAGGCGTGCGTCAGTACCTTCTTCGTCGCCAAGAAGAACGGCGACATCCGCATGGTCGTGGACGCTCGCCAGCCCAACCAGCTGCACAAGCTTCCCCCTCGGACTGTGCTCGCATCGGGCGAGGCGCTGGGCTCGATCAACTTGCTCGACGCCGTCGGCGCGAGCCCTGAGGACTTGGCGGATTTCGACGGCTGCTATGAGTCGCTCTGCGCAGGCTCCGTGGACCTCATGGACGGGTTCTACCAGTTCGCCGACCCTTCGTGGGGGAGCTGGATGTGCTTCGACGTGGAGGTCACCGCTGACGAGCTCGGGATCGACTCGATCTACGACGAGAAGCTCGGGCGCCGCGTGGCCGTATCAGGCGACGACGTCATCTGGCCCTGCTTCGCGGCGCTGCCCATGGGCTGGAGCTGGGCGCTCTGGATCTGCCACGAGGTTCTCGTCGATGCGATGGTCGAGGCGGGGCTCCCGAGCGACGGCTGGTGCCTTGACAAAGCCCGGGCGCCGACTCTCGTCGGACAGGCTGTCGTCAGGGCCCCGTACGTCGACAATGGGAATCTTGTGTCGCTCAGCGCGCCGGCGCTCAACGACCGGCTGGACAAGCTCACCGCTGAGCTGGACCGTCGTGGGCTTCGCTGGCACGAGCTCGAGCGCGCGCAGCCCGGCCTTGTCATCTTGGGGCTGGTGCTCGACGGGCGCGAGGGCCGACTTCGGCACACCGCCAAGCGCGCCTGGAGGCTCTACCTGGCTCTGCACCACGTGCTTCGGATACCGTGGCTCGCCCGCTGGCAGGTGCGACGGATCGTCGGCCATCAAGTGCACTACTTCTCCGTCGTGCGCCCCGGGCTCAGCGTGCTGGGGGCCTGCTACACGTTCATCGGAGACGGCGACCTGTCCACTGTCGTGCGCTTGCCTGGAGATGTTCTCAGTGAGCTCGCAGTCGCTGCGGGGCTCGTCTTCCTCGGCGAAGTGGACTTGTGCCGCGTGCCGTCCGACATCGCCTTCACGACCGACAGCTCGCTGCGAGGCTACGCCGTCTGCGAAGCCCGGCTGGAGCCCTGGGAGGTGCTGGCGGCCACCAGATGGCGGGAGCGCCAGCGGTTCGTTGCCACCGAGCCCGAGGTTGCGCCTGACGACGAGCAGTACGAAGGACGGGCCGCCGGCTTCTGTGACATCTCCGAGCCTCTGCCCGTCGAGCTGCCGCCCCGGCTGCGGCACGCCGTGGCCAAGAGGCGCCGGGTCGAGTTGGAGATCGGCGTCCCGCCCGAGCCGTTGGCGGACGCTCTGCTGGATGCTGGCCGCTGGGTGGAGCGCCGCCGTGGCGCGTGGCGCCGGCCAGGGCGCATCCACGCCCTCGAGGCGCGCGCCGCCGTCGCACCGCTATGGAGAGCGGCAGCCGATGTCAACTTCCACGGGAAGGAGATCCTCAGCCTGTGCGACAACATGTCGTCGGTCCTCGCCTTCGAGAAGGGCAGGGCCACCAATTTTGAGCTCCTGGCACAGTGTCGCCGGGCTGCGGCCGTCTGCTTCGGGTGCGAGATCCGCTGGCGCCCGAGGCACGCGCCTGGCATCTACAACGTCGCGGACCACGGGAGCCGGGCGGCTGACCGGGGTGAGCTCCTCCCCGGACGCTACCGCGGGCGAGGCGCCCTGTCGGCGCCCACCAGCGGCAGCCGCCGAATGCCCGTGGTCCCGCCAGCCGCGGGCAAGGCCGAGGCCTCGCCGACCACGGCTGTCGAGTTTGAGATCGGACGAGAGCAGGCCGAGCTGCTGGGGCCTGAAAACACCGAAAGAGACCGTTGCATTCCTTTACCTTTGTCACCTCAGCCCGTCTCTGACACGGATTCCCTTTCTTCCCAGAGTAGAAGGCATCAAGATGAAGTCTCGAAAGTACTCCCCAACGAGCGACCCCGACAAGATCGACATGAGCATGCTCGAAACCTACCTGTTGCACTCGAGCCTCCTGGAGTTCCTCTACGGGGCCCACATGTACACCTTGGGGCGCGCGAAGATCCTCAACAGGACCCTCCTGAGCGCCCTCGGCCTCTTGCGGTTCTACAACGGGGCCCACCTGTACGTCTTGGGCCACACGAAGAGCCTCAACGGGCACTGGCTAAGCGCTCTCGGCCTCCCGAAGTTCTCCGACGGGGTCCCCCTCGTAAAGCCTTCCTCGAGATCTTCGCGGGTACTGCAAATCTCAGTGGTGCGATGCATGAGCGAGGTTTCCGGATCATGCCCCTAATGGACTCCAAGTATGGGCCCCACTGTGACCTCACAAGCCGACGTGTCCAGCATCTCGTTGAACATTGGCTCAAATCGGGAGAAGTCTGGTGGGTCCACCTTGGCCTGCCCTGCACGAGGTGGGTGCCAGTCGGGGGCACGCGCGATCCAGCGCCGGCGGACCGCACGCTTGTGGCGTTCACAGTCCGTGTCGTGCGACTCTGCCGGTCCCTGGGGATCTTCGTCACTTTCGAGAACCCGCCTGCGAGCCGTGTCTGGAGGTGGCCCGCGTTGGAGCGAGAGCTGCAGCGCCTTGCCTGGCCGAAAGTGCTGTTCGACTCGTGCAGGTTCGGCGCGCCCTTCAAGAAGCCAGGTGCGATCGCCGGGAGCCTTCCCGGGCTGGGCCATCTTGCACTGCGCTGCTGTTGCGCTTGCCGCCATAGGGTTGAGCTGCAAGGCAAGGTCCGGCATCCGACGCGGGGCTGGACGTGGCGGACGACTCTGGCCGGGGCTTACCTACCCAGCTGGTGCCGCCTGCTGGTCTCGTTGGCCGGCCCAGACGCCCCTCAGAGTGCTTTCGGGCGCTCGACCCAGGATGACCTCCAGGCTCGGGCTCACGCGCTGGCAAGCGCGGCCGGGGTCGCCGAGCTCCGCGGAGTCACGGCGCCGATCTGCCCGCAGCGCTTTCGGCTCCCCTGGAGGCCAGGGTGGGCCACCGCGCTCGACCCGCGGCCGCGCAGCCGCTGACGCGGCCGCTGCACCAATGCCGGCGCAGCCGCGGTCGCGCTGGCAGCCGC